GAAAAATCAAATATCTCTATCCAGGTAAGCCATCAGCAGCTCATATTTTAAATGCGTTAGTTTCTCAGTGAACGTGATCATTTGCACCCCACCCGGTCGTCCATCTCGCTTGACAGTATGAACAGGTTCATTGTCAGATATTGAATTTATTCTATCGTTTTTTTTCTGTTTCCATGTACAATATATATATATATTGCAGTCATTTTCCCACAAAAATGATGCTCAATACTTTTCGGCTGCCTACATAAAAGAAGTAGCTATTATGTTAGAGAACGGAGATTACTATGAATCAAAACATAATGATTATTATTATTCATGTTCGACAAAGAGTAAGCTATTGAATATATATTCTATGGGATGATGGTGGCATTCATCATGCACGACTTACTCGTGCCAGATAATTAATGAGTAATAGATCTAAACATCAGTTTATCAGTTGGAAGGTGTGAATGATATAGAGTGATTGTCTACACCAGTCATTATGTGTAACATTATAGATAACATATCGGCTGCTGATTCTCATCTGATTCAATCATTTCTGATAGTCAAGGCAGTAAACTGGTGACATTAATTACATTCCTCATATATTCAACTGATCTCAAAGATTAATGATCACAAAACTTTTCAGAATAATAATAGCTACAAGATGAAAATATCTATGAACTCTAGAAAAAAAATCGTGATTTTGCTTAGTGTTCGTAGAACGAAACGTTATTTTAATTCAATTTAGGTAATCTAAAGGATAATGAAGAGAATTTGATAAACTTACGGATGTAGATGGATTGCTACTGTCAGCTACACTCGGTAATTGTCCATGAGTTGGAATTAGTCCAGTATGTTGACTATTATCTCTCAAGGAAGAGCACACTCCTGCCCCAACAAGCACAATTCCAGCGCCAGTTTGTGCTATATCGGGAATTCGACTCAATTGTTTTTCGAGTTTTACTTCATCTTCTCCTCGAATCATTTGAATTTCCCAGGTATAATCATTACTGGCACGCATCTTCCTATATGATTCCACACGAAGCACTATTCCCATCGGAAGCATAACATCACTTTCCCCTGGGATACTACTGAGTTGTCCAATAAAGAGTTGATGGGGAATTTGATTTTGCGGCAAAATCAGAAAAGAACGTATATATAAATCGAACAAATTCAACCCCTACCAGATATATCGAACAAATTCAACCCCTACCAGATAAATCGAACAATCCAACTCCTACCAGATATATCAGCCATATCAGTCATGCAACAATATTAATTGATAGAACAATATAACAGGCTCATAGATACTGATAGTATTAGTACAACTGCGGTATTCGCGGTATTGCGGTATTCGCAGTGTTTGTGGTAACCGTGAACATCGCTGTTAGCGTCGTAAGATGTCGCTCTACGACGCTAACTTGTTTTTCTTAGACTTATTCGTTTCTTTTCGGTTATTCCTTTTCATCGTAATCGATAGTTGTTATACAATAGGTTACGATGCCCCCTTTTTTTGTTTCTCTCTTTCGTTCTATACATATTAGAGCCTAACAATCGCAAGGACGGAAAACACCGCAAATACTCCTAATGTTTCCTCTTTTTAATTTTGCTACAAATTATTTTTGATAAATAATTATTTAATAATATCAGAAAGAATAAAAATAGTATGATTATTTGTCTCTTTTGATATATTCCGAATTAGAAAACATTTCTAAATAGCTTATTTTGAAAACGAGAACATTTCATATGAGGGTGATTCATTCAAACTGATTGGTTGTTCTTCAGGTTGAAAAAAACGTTTTTCACGTTTCGAAAATATTTACAGAAAAGCAATTATTTGGTTTTGTAGTCAGTTTCAGTTTTTATCTCGAGAGAAAGTTCATCGAAATAATAAATTTAGTTATTATCATTAATGCATATCTACATTTGAAAGCAAATCTAATACTTGATCACATGTATCTGATTGTTTGAATTAAAAATAAAATTTAAATTTTATAAAATCTCATGTTTCATATAAAAATTTAAAAAAATCAGTATTATTTGCAATGAAATTGTTTTTTGCCGCAGAATTGAATATCAAAGAAAATAGAAATATCATAAAAGTTAGGTAAAAAAAGAAAACAAATGAAAAAATACTGATAGAAAAGAAGTTTTTTATCGGCGAGATGTTCGTAAAAAGACTGAAGTATTTTTGAGTTGTTTCATGTGAATTTGGTTTCGAAAGTTTTAATTTTTTGAAAGGTTTTACGATTTTTTTAATAGAGGAAAAAATAGAAAAATTCTAACAGCCTTTTTTTATTGATAGTAGTGGATAACAGATATCGAAAATAATATCTTGAAGTTATTTTTATATTAACCACGAATTACCGTCAGAACCGACCGTATCATTAAAGTCGGTAAAAACCGTCGGTTAACCGTGATTTACTGGCGGTATCTATAAAAAAATGACGCCAATATATATTGGCCGTCATCTTAAACATTCGATCTCTAGTGACATCTGTTTTCTTTTAATTTAAAACAAAAGTGAAGAATATGTCTACGATTAAAAGAAAAGAGCTATATTTCAATATAGATTGGAGCATTCAATTAACTTGTCGATGCAGTCGAAAATAAGATGCTGAAAAATAAAATGTCTTAATGATATTATTGCTAGTATATAATAGTTATTTGTGACAAATAAGCACTGATTTGATATTTACCTAAGATAGAAGACCAAAATTTAATCTATAAAACTGTACTAAGGAAGTAATAATAAAAGATCATTAACCAGCTGATTAAAGCTATATGTTAATGATCATGAAATGTTGGTTGTGATGTAAGAAAATTGTAGCTTTAAACATAATGACCGTAAATTGTATTTCATCAAGTTTAAACTGCTTTTTTATACTATGTAACACGTAACGAGACTGTAAAGTAAAGCAAAGGAATATTTGCTTCATCTATGGTACAATGAAAGGCGTTTTGAATAGAATTTTATGAGAATTAAGGATACTTTTCTATTTTTGATGAATACATTATCATAAGATTCTGTGAACTACAAATTCCTACTACATTCACCTTACTGGGAAAACATACCTATTTGAGAGAAACTATTGTTTTTTGTATGAAAGAAAGATTCGATCACCGATGAAATCATTAGCCAGTGAAAGTATTGATAAATTATCATCTTTGACGTCAATAAGCAAGCGATACAATTGGAACCAACCCGAAATCAATCATGTAATTTTGAATATGTCCTAATATTTTTTATTTGTTTTTCGAATTAAACACTACCTTCTATGAAATTAACTTGTACCTCTTTCAATTAGTACACTTTGAAAACAATGCAAATTTTTCATTATGATGATTGTCTTTTAATAATTCTTTGTTCATCTCCTTTGTTTGGAATGTCGTATTGAATAGTCCGTCAACTTTATCTTATCAGTACAATAGCAGAAGAATAAATTTAGTCGAATATTCTTATTGTTTTACCGATCTTCTTTTGTGCAATTCTATCCCTATAAATATCGACGCAATAGACTGTTTAAGTGCATTTTATAGTTAACTTTTTGTTTATAAGGACGTTCTTAGTGTTATTAATATTGTTTTTTTAGATTTTACTTTTCGCCATCGTTATAATTTATGGCAAATAATCGATCATCAACACATCCTATTTCTGCTGATTTCTCAGCACTTCTTCATGCAAATTTTAAACAATTAAATTCTCTTCCAATTTTCGATGTTGATTTTCTTGATAAAGATAATGATTGGTTTTTGCTTTGCTTTTTACGCGAACAACAACGAAATGGTCGCTCATTTGAAGTTACTCTCTCTGGTTTAAATAGTATCGTCGGTGTACTAGCTGATACTTCATATTTTCGTAGTGTAATTGACAATAAAATTGGTTTTTTAAATCAAAACCATCATCTGATCGGAGAAAGTGGTAAATATTTTTCTTACATAGCTGCATCTATATATAGACATTATAACCTTTTCCCGAGAATCTATAGCATATGCTGTTTATATAAAGTCTTTCCAAATCTCATTGAAATTCTTTTTTTTGGTTGTATATATAAACAGTTTCATTATATTCTTCGCAATCTAAGAAACACTAGTTTATAATAGAAAAGTATATTTCATATCATTTTAAAATTTGTGGTTCATCTATTATTTATAATGCTTTTATTGTAGCCTCAAATAAAAGTTCAACATGTCAAGAAATATCATTAGCATTAAAAACAATTTGTGAATTATTTCCAGGTCGATATTCTTCTTTAAAAAAAACAAATTTAGATCTTCAAGATGATGAAAACAATGATAATAAAACGAAAAAAAAATTAAAGAATGAAGAATATTCAATGGTTATGTCTAATGCTACTGAAGTTGGTTTATTAAATAATTTAGCAAAAGTTAATACTATCTTGCTTCATGCAGATGGTGATGCTGCATTAAATAAGCTTGGCTATTATGATCAAGGAAAATATGAAACATCAGCTGGCGTGAGCTTATTTTGCGACGCTTCAGATGGGATTTTTGGTGGTTTCATCAGAGGAACGGGTGTGTCTCAAGTGAAAATCGATCGACCAGTAGCTTTGCTTAATATGTTAATTGCTAGTACTGGTTCCAAATTAGCTTCTATGCTTCAAAGATTTTATGATACCAAAGATCAAGATGGAGTATATGGACGAGTTTTTTTTACTTGGTGTCAATCTATTAGTGAATTACCAATGGCCAAAACAATAAGTTTTACAAATGTACCATCATTTTCTCATTTTGCTTATGCTGTAGCTCAATTTTTTGTCAATCAATTCGAATTTCGTCATTTAGCAAACAAGTCTGACACTATCACAACAAACAACGACTGTAAGTCTTTCCTTAAATTTTGTTTTTAAATGAAAAAATATGTACAAAAGTACAGCTTGAAAACTATAATACAAAAATAATCTTTTTTTTTCATATAGATATTCGTGGTGAAGAACGTTTAATACAAGAAAGGGATAAACAAAAGGTTACCACACGATTGACTTATTCAACTTGTTTTGATGAAAATGATATTCAAATAAATAGTGTTAATGGTACAAATGATAATGATGAACAAATGTCGTCTTTCAAATTATTTAAAATTTTACTTGATGATTGGTGGAAAGCATCAAAATCTGCTGAACATCATTTAAAACCAGTTCTTCGAAAAGTAGTGAACATGTTATCAAAATGTATATGGTCAATGAAAATTGTACGTATTATATTTCGATTAATGGGTGAAAATTTAAACAGCATCAATCAGCAACAAGGAGATCGTACAACATTAAATTCGACTTGTATTGATGTAGAATTCCAACATGCTATTCAAATATCAATTAATAATTATCTGTCAACCGAATGTCAAGAAACAGGACATCAACATTACATCATGTGGTCAAATAATAATGACATAGTTGTTGGCTATAACTGGTATTCAAGAAAAATGCTTGTCGTCGAAACACTTTTAACATTGAAATTAGTATCAGATGTAATTACTGAACGTGCTGGTAAAAAACAGTTGAAAAGTAAGTTCTTTTTTTTTGATAACGAACTATATTGGATACTTTTTTTCTGTTGAGTATGTCTATGGGAATATTATTCATTAAGTGTTTCATGAAAAAGATTGAAAGGGATCTATTCTTTCTCATATATTTATATTTAACTTGATTTAATAACATTTATTTTATTCAATGCTTTTTAGATCACAAGAACAAGTAAAGCTTGGAAAATGCATGGCAAAAGTCATGAACTTTTCCGTTGTGTTTTTCACCAGACAATATTTGACAAGCAATAAAAAGGGCCCAGGATCAGGCTGCCTTTCTCATTCAAATGACTTGAAGCCAGATCAAATTCTTTTACCTTTATATGAAAGCGGTTTGATTATTGGTGGAAATTTTATCAAAAATGCACGTGGTGGTAATGAAGATTTACCTTATACTTCATTTTGTAAACAACTTCCAGGTGTTATTTGTAATAATCCACGTATAAAACAAGCATTTGATGTAAGTACGATATAGACGCTGATAATAATAATGTAAGAACCTTTTCAATTCTACTAACTAAATATGAATAATTAAAAAAACAATACCGAAGTTGTCGTATTGATGATAGATGTTTCGAGCGAACATATTTAATTCAACATGAAGTACGAGATAAGAACAGTAGTCAATAGATGTTTTCGTTTTTATCGACGCGAAAATCAAAAGAATATAAAAGATTAGTGTATTGATATAAATTTTATGCACTGAATACATATGCTCTTGTTTATAAGCTTACTATTATAAAAGAAATCAAGATGAAAAATTTAATTTATATTTTAAACTGAGAGCAAGCATCAAATCTTGAAATAATATAATTAACAATACAGTATAGAAATAAACGTGAAGAGTAAAATATCAAGACGTATACTGTCTATATGTGCTAAAAGTATTTCAACTTATTGTTTATTATATACTTTTAGAATTTGAATTTGAATATGGAAAGTTATGAACTAACTTTTGAACACCAACGTTTACCACTTGGAATGGAATTTTTAGATGAAGCTATTGATTTTATGAAAAACAACAACCATTTTGTCCAATATTATCATAATTATTATAAAGAAGATTCTCGTTTCAAGTCTTTTCGAGAAATGATTGATGAACGTATTCGTCTTGCTGAAATCGTACAAAATGAAGGTATATAATATTTATCACCCATTATTAATTATTGTTTTTTTCATCATAGATAACATCTGTTCAAATGATCTTCTTCTTGTCAACAGCAATCAACAACGGAATATTCATGATAAAAATTTTGCTTCAACGAATAGCATTATTGACAAACAGATGGTGACAACAGCAGATATTATTGAAGCATCTTCTGTTCAAACAAATTGCAAAAGTGTTTCTGAATCTTCAATTAAAAATATTTTCTTAAGTAAGATTTTGATTTTTTCCCTGTTCATTCAAAAACACTTATAAAAATATACCGTGATCAATAGTTAGCTAAAAAAACGTCTTAATAACAAAAGGAATTCTCATTATAATCTAACAGAATGAAACGTCACGTTTTTTTCAAAGTTGAATTATTGTCACTACGATGAGAACATTCGATTTTGCATGATTCAATAGAAATTAGTTTTCTTTCCTTTTATGGTGTTTCGCATAATGTATTAATATTGTTTTTTATTTCTATATTGTAACGTATTCATGAAATTTCACACGATTTTTTTTCTGATTTGATTATTGGCAGCAAACTCATATTATTTATTCATTCTAATAGATACACAAATTCAAATAATTGATCAAGATGTTGATGTAACTTGCCAAGAACAGGGTACTACTGCTGATAGTGGCAATGAAGTCGAACAGCAATCTATTCAAATAGCAACAAATTTAGATGCAGATTTAGCTTCAAAAAAACAATTATCACCATTACATGAAAGCGCCAACGCTTTCGATGGCAACACTACAACTGAATCATCAACAAAAGGTAAGAACATATAATGAATCTATTTTTGTTTGCCGATTGAAAGTAATATTTCATTAAAAAAAATCAAGATTTTAATTTATTCTGTTTTCTTACGTATTACATATTCGCTAATCTGCTTCGTCGCAATTCACTCTTGGCATATAATATTGCTATCTAGATTTTTATTTAACAAAATTAAAAGTTCGTTTTCATTTACTTTTTGCCATTAATTTTAGGTTCAAGTAGCAACATCGTTATTACTGATACACAAAATGTCAAACATGACCATTTGAATTCTCTTTTCGAAATCAGTCAATCCCAACATCAAGGTAATTTATTGTTCTATTTAAATATACTCATTTTCCATATACCCAGTTGATAAAATTATTTCTCGTAGTTCGAAAAAAGGTTTTCTTAAATAGATTGCATATTATTGGTTCTTAAGATTATAAAAGAAAATTTGTCTAACGTTAAGAACATATTTCATTTAAATCATAAAATCATTTCTTTCCATTTTGTTTTTTCTTTTATAAATTTTACAGAAACTTCATATATCCATTTAAGGGTTTTAAACTTTTTCAGATGTTACTGAGCATTCTTCTTCTTCTTCTGTACAATCTGTTGTTCATGTAGAAACAGCTTCATCAATCATTATCAATACTTTATTAAATTCAGGTTAATAGTTTTTCTTCATTAAAATTATTCCATACATTTAGCATTTCAATATCTGTTCTAAAAAAAAACTAAAAAGAAATGTTAGCAAACTAAAAATTAAAATAAATTTATTATCCTTGTAGAATAACGATTTTTTCCATCAACAATATCGAGATTTAGCTTTATAACAGGTTCTTTTAAATGTCAATGTTGTATCAAACAAAGTTTTGATGTTTCTATCGTTAAACGTATTGACTTAAATGATAAAGGCAAACACGGCAAAAATTAATCGTTGCCAATTTATAATAAGATAATAATCTATGTCAGATATATTTTTCTATTGAATAATAATACAATGTTTGTTTTTCTAGTGATCCAACATTAGATCATTGTGAAGGGAAAACATTTTAAAAGATCATCATTCGTATGCATAACTCCGTCTACTGTTGAGTCTGTTAGAAAATCGTCTTAATAATGTTTAGAAATAAATACTCTTAGCTAGATATAATTTTACAATGATAGTATTCATGTTGTGTTGATTTTTTTCTCTTTTCTAGATGAACGATTTTCTCTTGATGCAACAGTATTACCACAAAATGACCCATTGAAGGATCTTACAAATACCATTGAAACACGTTTAACTGGTGAGTTCAGAAACACTGTTTTTTCCATTTTTTTTTGTGCTTTTTTGTTTTAACTCTTGAAATCATTAAATTAATATGCCAATTATTCATATAGAATTAGTAATCCTATTAACATTCAAAGAAAATACTGGAGCATGACTTATACACCTATTTTCATTATTAAAAATTGGATAATTTATGAAACAATCTTATCCTAAAAAAACGATACTTCTTTATTTTAAAAATTAATTGATACTATGAAAAATTAGTTTCCAATGTAAACTAATAATTTAAAATAATTTCTTTCGTCCATGGTAATTAATTGAAATTTAAAAGGTTTACTCTATTTAATTGGTGAACTTTTAGTTTTAATTTCTAATCATGTATTTTATTTAATGAGAGACTATAGTTTCAATTAATCAATAGACTTTTTAATTCGAATTTCGAATACTGACTTTTTAGATATTGATAATCAAAATTTTCAAAAAAGAAACAAACGAGGCCGTCCAAACTCAACAAATACAACATCTCAAAAATGGTCAATGGAAGGTAAAACCTTTCATTTTTTTGTTCATCAGTGTCAATTCATTTAAGAGATAACATAATTATGTAGTTGCAAGATATTAAACCAAACTTTATCGTGTTCAACTAGTAGCATTCATTTTTAGCAAATCTATTTGAATTGAATTATTTTTGTAAATTAGAACACTAAATTGTAAAATCAATAGATCTGCTTTATGACAAGAAATAACTAATATGTAACTAGCTGCGAGAAAACATTATCTATTAAGCTTCCTCCATATAGTCATAATTGATAAGTAAAATACTCCAGTTATTTGAGATTATTAGCTATATTTTGTAAGCTTGAATATTTTTTTTGTTGCATGGAAATTATAGTTTCAGATTTTACTAAACCATATTAAAATTTTAAAAAAACAGAAGTGATATCAAGTTTTATACAAAACAACTCTATTTAAGTACATTACCTCAAGAATTTCTTTTAATTAATTTTTATCGAAAGATAGAATAAAATGAAATTCTTATTATTTAGAATACTTTCCATAGAATATGATATAACCTTATTTGTAAAATGTATCGACATTGTACTAAATAAAAATACTAATGTTTCATAGATTCAAATTAAGAAACTTCTAAGATAATTTTTCTTTCAAAAATTTTTAATTGCTTTTATTTTTAGAGGTGAACAATGTCATCGTCGATCCAAAATCTTCATCTATTTGGAAATCAATATTAATAAAACGTCAATTTATTCTTGGTACATTAACGGATTTATTTAAAATGATACCATCTAAATTGTTTAATGAAGATGCTCGACTTAAACTGGTTGAATTTCTTATTTTTAAAAAAATATTGTTAAAAGATAATTGGTTTTGTGATGCTAAAGGAAATCCAATTGCTGGTTATATGAAAGGCAGTCCTGCTGATCCACCTGTATCATTAACTTTAGCTGATTTTAATATTGATATTGAAGAATATAAACGTTCTTTAAATGTTCATCAGAACGTTAAGCGAATTATTGATGGAAAAATTATTAATCGATCCTATTTATATAGTAGTTTATTACAAGAACACATTAAAAATGATGAATGGTTTAAAAATAATCTCGAAATTAATGTAAAGTTCATGTATGTACGAAAAGAACCATTACAAACTACATCCAATTATCGTAAGCTTATTGCTCAATTCTAGATGGATAATTATCAGCTTTTTTCTAATTTATTTTAGAAACTGATCAATTTCAAAAAGAACAAAAAAAGAAAGTTCATCAAGCAATGATTAATCAAAAACGAAAAGTTGACGAATTACAAACACAAACATCAATGATATGTGGATCGGATATACCTGCTAAACGTAAACGAAAACCAAAAATTTATGATGATTAATATTCATATTATTCTTTTACCATCCATTATCATAATGTATATTTTCAATTATGGCTTATTATTTACCTATGTGCATATAAAAACTTACATATAGTTTGTGTATCCGTATTTTCCCGTTAACGTTTACCTTACTTTTCAATGATTGTGATTATTTTTTTGAAAATATTTTGCTTTTGTTGTTTATTTATTTGTTTCTCAAAAACGTAAGATTATTCTTTATCTATCAACCTTGTTTATTTTCAACGATATTTATGCATTTCTTTTTCTTTATTTAAACATATGTTTGATGATCTTATTCATTTCCAGATGAACATTTTCAATATAGCTCAATGTATAGAGATATTTTTCCATTTATCTGTGTCGTTTTATTAAAATTCTTCTTCGATTGAAGAATTTGTTCTTCATTTTTTATTGTATTTATATTTCTTTTGTTTTACGATGTTCATTAACCATTTTTTTTGTCAAAAATAGGAAACCTATTTCTACCTATCTGTTCTATAATTAATGCAGTCTTTTTTCCGATAGATCTTCATTTTCGAACATGCACATATCGTTTATACTACTTATAGAAGTGATATTCACCTGATTTAGAATATCGTTGATACATTAATAAAATAAAATATTATTTTGATGAAATGAAAATGAAATTTATGTTGAAGAATCATTTAGAAATATCAACAATGAAAGCATAAAAGAAAGTTTTAAAAAGTCGTCAAATATCAAATAGTTTTTCTCTATAAAACTGACATAAATTTATATTTGATATTTAGTTGCAAATATCCTTTTTTGTGTCCTGTAATTGTTCTACTAATGACTTCAGCTGAAAATATGTCTATTAATTGCTCAGAATACAATTTTCACTATTTTTTTAGATTTACTTTTATTCATTTCCTAACCCTAAAGTAGGACAAAATATTCAAAATATAAAGATTATCAGCATTTTATTTCTAAAAGGTTTTGTTTTAATTATTATTTTCAAAAATTATCAACTCCTTGTAACCATAATTAGAATCTTTTTTATTATATGTTTCATAAAATCAAGTGCTTCCTATCGATGGTTTTCGTTAAGTTTTGTTTAAAAAAAAGCAACATAAAGAGATTTAGCTGTCATTAAATAAAAATAATTGTTGAATTCACAATTTTGATTGTTTTTAAAAATAGAAATTGGTTGTTGCAGTTTCTGTATTTACATTGTTTTAGATGTCCACTATTGAAACAGTATCTCAACGTCTTTCGTGGGCTTTTCCCGATGAAGAAAAACGTTCTTTCAAAGCAGCTATAATTATCGTAAATGTCAATCGTTTAATACCGGCAAGCTATATTTATCCATTGCCTCCTCCTAGTACCAGTGAAGAACGATTGGACTTTATATGCTTTATTTTAAAAAAAGAAACGGGTCTTATTTACACCCGTAATGAAGTTCTTGTTGCTCATAATGTTTTAATGGGTCATCGCGATACACAAGAACAATTAAATTTTAGTTGTGATATCGCTAAAATACAAGATCATTTAAATGAATATAAATCTCTTCAACTACAATCTGCATTTGCAAAAACATTCAGTCCTATTATACTTTTTCCACATCGAACAACTTGCAGCTTGTGCGATAAACAATTAAAAATAATTTTTCAAGCTTGTGCTTATATTATTTATTGTACCAAAATTGAACCTTGTCTACTTTATAAAGCTGATTGCCATCAATGTCGCCGATCTTATCGAATATCATCGATTTATGCAACAGATCGTAAAGAAACAATTGTAACATCTGAATCACAGAAAGTTGAATGTATACATTATTCAGGCTCACTTGTATTTTCAAAAGAATTTCTCGTTTCATTTTCTTGTCAATTAATAGATAATTATGTCACTTTCGATGCTTTTGCTGCTAGTACATTAAAAACTATTAATAAACTTCATTCGAACAATGCTGATGTTATAACAAGTGATAATCTAGCTCGTAGTTTAGAAGCTGTGTGGCTTTATTATGAATTAACAAATTTCGTATTTATGACTAGTAAATCAACAGAAATTTCATATCCATGTGCAATGAGTGAAGGTCGAACAAAAATAAAAGGCAACCAATCATTACGAGCAATATTTATTGAACGAAATTTGAATTGGATCTATCATGTATTTACCGTCTTCTGGTCTCGCCATCAAGATATATTTGGAAGTTGTAAATGTGGTAATTGTTCGCAAGTGATTATACTAGATGGTCATCAAAAGCCGTGAGCAATAAAAATAATTTTTTCTTCAATTTTCCTTTAGTGATCAATAATAATGAAATAGATGACAAGTGTCACCTAGATTTTGTGTTGAAATGCAACACTTTTCATATTATAAACGCAGTTATTGTTCTTCTGAAGAAAATATAAAATTCATAATTGAATTGCATACATTAATCATAAACATCCTGAAAGCATTTTTTTTGTATCAAGTCTTAAAAAATAATGTTAAACTTATATTTCTTTAATTAATATTCTTTAACTAAAAATGACATTAAATTTTCTTTATTTTAGAAGAAGGTTGGTATGCAAATATGACAACGTGACAAGTTTAATTAATGCTGATGAACTTGGACCATTAAATAGGGGATGCCCTTATCCCCCAAGAAGAAGAAAATTAGATAATCGACAGCCAAATGGTATGTAATTGTTTTGAAAAGTAAGAAAATGTTGAGCGTTATATAAGCACAAAATAATGCTATTATAATAATTAAACAGATTGCACGAAAATTCCATAAAGAGAAGCTATCGAGTTACATTATATACTTTATCTAGTATAACAAATATTATTTCTATTTTCAATTTTAGATGCTGGACATTATTATTGTGATCATCATCGCATGACATGTAATGAAGAACAATCAGTTGAAAGTAAATTATCCGATGAAGAACTTAATAATTATTTAAAATATCTTAAAAACTTTGATCAAGAAGAATCTCAATGCAACATCGGTAGAAATGACATGGAAGAACGTTTCGAAAGCAAAAAACGTTCCATGGGATTTATAGCATCGTTTCTTAATTGTGGTATTATTGTTGGGTTTTCCGATGCTATTAATCATGAAGGTCCTAGAAAGATCACTGATCATTTATTAACAATGATAAAAATTGGAGCGAAATTACCAATTCTTCTTGTCTATGATGCTGCATGTCAGTTGCACAAATTTTGGAATTTTAGATTTAATACGCAACATATGCAAAAAACAATATATACACAAGAACTAATGAACATGAAATTGGTTACAGACCGTTTTCATAATACAGTTCATAAGGGAAAATTATGTAAAACATTATTCAATCCTGATTCTGAGCAAAACAAAATTGATTTTATTGGAATTAACACCAGCATTGCTGAACAAATGTTCTCATATTTAGCGAAATTTAAAATAGCATTAGGAAGCTTTTCTTATCCAACATCAGCACTATTTACCATTTTGTTGTTCCACTTAAAAAATTGCGATAAAGTTAATCAGAATCCTTTTCAACAAGGTGTTATTATTGGTAGTAGTCTCGAAACTATCATTCAAGATCAAACATCAAGTCAGACATATTGTGTATTTGAAACATTAATAATTGAAAATGGTTATAGTGAAAATGATGATTCTCAAATTGATGATACATATGTTGATCTTAGTGATCGCGATGATAATCCATAAAAAAGTTAAATTTCATCATTACAAGTAGTGTTAAATATATCATTATACTTTTACCAATATTTTTATATTTTAAAACATTTTCAGAAAAAATAAGACATGAAACGAATAGTTTAATTATTTTCTCACATTTTTCATTGAGATCGTTGACAAAATATAAAATATTGAAGTTGCATTTCTTCAAACATATTAATTCATTGAAATATAATAATGATGTCTACTTAGATTTATATTTCCATACAAAACGCCGTCAATAAAATTTGTCCGTCGCAGAAAATTTATCCTTTCTTACTCGTTCTATATCCAAAAACGATCAAACGTTGACATCTCATATTTTTTAACGATGTCAATGTTATACTAGGTTGCTTCATATCTAGATGCTTCATAGTACAGACAAATATATCGATTTGTACTGTACCTTTTTTTTCTAATTTTTTAAAAGAAAAAATGGAAAAATTTATATAGAAATATGGAAAAAATTTATGCAAAAACATGACGTGAAGATAAATATATATTGAAAGCATTAAATGGAATAAAAGGATGTTGACATGTGTAATTGAATACTTACAAAGATATCTATCTACTTTTTTTAATACTTATTCACAAGATTTTTAATTATAAATATTGTCTATCATTGACTTCTGAGAAACTTTTATCAACATTTTCTTTTCTCGACTTTTCTCTCGAGATTTAATCTTTCAATATCATTCTAGCTCTTTTAAATTTATCAAATAATCATTTCTTAAAAGAATGAAAAGTATTTATAGAATAAATTGTGGTGTATACAGTTCGACAAATAGCTATAGATTAAAAAATATGTCGCTAATGAAACAGAAAAATTTACCATTACCATCACGATAATCAAGACATGCATTCATATTCTATCTAATATACAATAAGCAAAAATATGGTAAGAACACTCCAAAACAAATAAGGATCAAAACAATGATGATTATACTGTTAGTATGATATATACATTATTTTTAAATTATAATATTGTCTTTCATTTTCGGTACACAAGGAAAAAATATTCTTAGTAGCATTGTGTATGTATTTCTGATTAGTAAAGAAACGAATAAAATAAAGTAGAATCATAGTGCAAAGAATTAAGTGAGAGAGTTCAAATGTTTTTTCAATATGGTAAACATAGAAAGACTAATATCGCTATAATTTGAAAAACAATAACAATAATCATTTACCTGTATAAATGTCTATGTGTGCTGTTGTGGAATCCTCTATTCAATTTCTATCAGCATAGAAAACTAAAATCTACACATCGATATATGAGACCTTTCACTTATTTATAAAAAAAAGAAATCAAATTTCATTAACACTGGGATTGATCGATAAATATTCGAAGAGTATTGAATTATCGATATCGCCTGCAATGACTACTTGCAATCATCAATAATGCACGGAAGTAATTCCGTGATAAAATTAAAACTACAAAACTTATTTGAGAGTTAATCAACAGTGTTTTTCAACAAGCTTCTGTTACATCCACATTACTTCATTACACTCTTAAAAATATTGCTAAATATATATTTAATCACTTGAACAATCAACGCAACTGTGAAAATAAAAATATAAAGGTTATCTACATGCCCGATGAGAAATTGAAACTGAGATTAATTTATCTCAAATAGTTCCCAAATAGACACACCTCTTACAATAGTCTCAAACAATTGCTTTCTCATATAAATAAGAAACATCATTGCTTTTATTTACAATACATTCTTTATGCCATACCAACTATACCCACTGCTCCTACTATCCAGTAACACTTTCCTTCTTTTTAGATATTCATTTGTAATAGAAATGCTATTCCAGTTCCTAAAAACACAAATACGGAAAAAACCTGTTCTTAGTCCGCGAAACAATACCAACAGCTTCATGAAAACAAGTCAAGGTCGACCATGTTGCTAATATTATAAATAATTATCCACCTACTGCATCCTGTTCTAATCTGCTAAGACGACAAAAGCTCTATGACGGTTGACATAACTATGCAACCGATAATTTTCTTCAAGACTTGAGTATCCTGCTCTTTTGCATATTAACAAATCTTTCAATTCAAAGATTCATCAACACTTTCAACATCGCGAGGCTCACAATCCTCGAGTACCGCAATACCGTAATACCGCAATACCGCAATACCGCGAATACCGCGAATACCGCAATACCGCAATACCGCAATACCGCGAATACCGTGA